ATGCGAGATGACATCTTTGACCCCTTTGACAAGGGCACTCTGCGAGGCATCGAGCCACTCTCCATCTCCATTGAGGTCAGTACCTGCTCCCGCTGTGGGGAGGGATTCCATCCGGGTGGTTATACCAGATTTGGGCTGATAGAATGTATTTTCTGGGTTCCTGGCTCTGCCTGCAGCTGCTTGCTCCTCACTGAACCCCTCAGCCCTTCCCTAGAGCTGTCCCACAGCACAGGCTTGGAGAGCCCTCGCTGAAGAGGGAGACCCACGGGTGTTGCTGAGGGTACCTGGAAAGGACCATCCGGAGCATCCCTGGATGCTCCCCTGGGACTCCTCTGGCACAGGGCCCAGTGCCAGCAGGTGGCATCCATGAGCTGCTGAGGTGGCATCCCTGTCCCCAGAGCCTGGCCGGCTCCAGCAGGATAACACAGGAGCTGTGCCTGGTCCCCTCCTTGTCCCTCTGGGCTCAAGGTGTCCATGACCCCTTGGCTTGTGGCCCCTCAGGGGAAGATGCTCAAGGACAGAGCATCTTTTCACCCCGTTTTCTGTGTTGCACTGCTGGTGATGATAAGAGGAGGGGTGGCTGTGGGTGAGGGGTGCCAGAGGATGGACTGGGGGGGCCGGGTGAACCTTTTTCTTCCCGGGTGGTGGTTCTGAAGCTGGATCATTCCTGTTTCAGCTCAGGGAGCTGCACCACAGGGGCTCCACAGGGGTATTGGACAGCTTGCCAGGCAAAGCCCCTGGAGGGCTGTGCCAAAGCAGGTGGCTCTCATGTTTGGAGCAATGGTGTCCTGTACAGGCATCCATGGTGGTCCTGGAACCGAGCTGTGGGTCAACAGTCTCCTTTGCCAGTCCCTTCACCTCATGCAGACCTTGAGGAGGATGCAGTGGAGATCTTGCCTTTAGGTGCTCACAAGTTTCCTCTGAGGCCACCTGTTTCAGAGTGTCCCACCTAGGCCACAGCCCTTCCCTATGAGGAAACCCCATTGTGTCCTATCTGTGCCATTGATGCCATATCCACTGTCTCCCTAAAATCCCTGGCATGATTTCCCTTCACCACCTGTTTTCCCAGCTCTTCCTGCATCTCAGAATGCAGCTGCAATCACCAGGTGTCAAGAGTCATTGTACCATAGCCAGTCACTGTTGCCTTTAAGAGACAGGCTCAGCCTTTTGTCCTCTGGCAAAACTGCCCATGTCCCCACCAAAGCCAGCTTTCACGGATGAAGAAGCCGTCTCGAGCCCAGCATGACTCAAAGCACATGATCCAGCGTTGGCAGCATGTCCTTCCCCTGCAACAGCAGCGTGCCGACAGCACGCTGGAGCGACATATGGCCACCGGCAAGAGGGAGCTGCGCTGGCTTTCTCCTGTGAGGAAGCAGGTTGTCACTGGAGTTGGGCACAGACTGTGCTATGATCAGGAGGCAGAGCAGTGATGGAGAACAGCTCCTTTTCATCCTCACACTGAGGCAGGAGGGCCGAGAAGTTTCAGCAAAGAAGAGGGTGTCCAGCATAGCACTCCAGGCAGGGAACTGCGCTCGGCTTGGAGCCCAGTTCCAACTTGGCAGGCTGGGGGAGGGATGCTGTGGCCCAGGCCTGGCTGTACAGGCAGTAGGCAGGAACCTGGGGCAGTTCAGCTGCCTTTTTTTATGGCTTACAGGTCAAACTGGTGATTGGGAACACCATAGCAGCTTCCAGGGGTGGGAGCTGTTTCTCTCCGAGAGGCTGTGCTGGGCTGGCTGTCAGCGTTGCTCCTCTCTCCAATTAGCAGAGCCAGGGTGGCTTATTTGGAAAGATGTCTTGGTATGCAAAGACATTTTTTTTCCCTTTGGTCCTGTCTCTTACCAAGTGTCTCCTGCTCTCTGCCCAGGTCCTGGGGGCTCGGCACCTTCCCAAAAATGGAAGAGGAATCGTTTGTCCTTTTGTGGAGGTGGAGGTGTCCGGCGCCGAGTACGACAATGCCAAGCAGAAAACTGAGATCGTGGGTGAGTGGGTTAGTGAAGGGAAGGGAGAGGGATGCACCAGCACTCCTGATCCTGCTGTGGGCCATGGGGGCTGCAGAAAAGCCTGGCCCTGGGCTGGGAGCTGCCCTTGTGCTGCCCCCAAGCTCAGCATCAGCTGTGGGGGAAGGGGGCTCAGCAGGGGCTGCCCACTGACAGCCGTGTCTCGTGAGCAGCGGACAACGGCCTGAACCCCCTCTGGACCCCGAAGCAGTTCCACTTCCAGGTCAGCAACCCTGACTTTGCCTTCCTCCGCTTTGTGGTGTACGAGGAGGACATGTTCAGCGATGAGAACTTCCTGGCTCAGGCCACCTTCCTGGTGAAAGGCTTGAAGACAGGTAAAGCACTTGGGGAAGTGGGGAGGGTGGTCATGGGGGTCCTCACCAGTTCACATCATTGGCCAGGAAGATGCTGAGTTTCACAAGAGGATGTTGTCATGCCCCAGGCTGGCTCAGTCCATCCTATCCCCGTGACAGGTCACAGCCCCAGCGAGGTAAAGGAAGGCAGAAGCTGTTTACTAACAGCCCCTGGGGCTGACTGGGATGAGTTGGAGAGTCATGGAATCATAGAGTGGTTTGGGTTAGAAGGGACCCTAAAACACTATCTTGTTCCAATCCCCCTGCCATGGGCAGGGACACTTTCCACTGGACCAGGTTGCTCAGAGTCCCATCCAACCTGGCAGAAGCAAAGAAGGGTCTTCTGGGAGAAGGACACCCCCCCCGACACTGACGTGCCACAGTGACACCATTGCTGTCTCTGCCGTAGGTTTCCGAGCTGTTCCCCTGAAGAACAACTACAGTGAGAATTTGGAGCTGGCTTCCCTGCTGGTCAAGATAGACATTTTCCCTAGCAAGGTGAGGCTGGGGTCGCACACGGGAAGGTGACAGTGCCACAGGGCTGAGGAGCAGAAGCAGTGAGTGAGCCCTGCCTGGCCCTGCCCATGCTCCTGCTCCAGTCAGGACAAGGCTCAGCTGTGCCTGGCCTGAATTCCCAATGCTGCTCCATAGTGATGCACGGCGGGAGGGCAAGTGCTGGGCTTGCCTCCTGCAGCAGTTGGGGTGTTTCAAGCAGGGTCCTGCCTGGACTGCGTTTGACTTGCCTGGAAATCCCTTCAGCAAAAGCTGGAGGAGGCGGATTTGCTCCATCCCAGTGCCTGTCTGCTCTCCAGGGAAGTTACAGCTCTGTATCACGGAGCTGGCTGGCCTGGGGCTGTCTGTGTTGGCATAAGTGGAGGGCAGGGCTGCTTCAGAGACAGATGGTTCTTTTATTTCTTCATTTAAAATGATGCTGGTGGGAGCCAGCAGTGGTTGTTAGAGCAGTTTTGTATTGCAAACCCCAAGCCCCCGTGAGCCATGGACACGCTGCGTGGCAGCTGCACCAGGACTGCCCTTACTGCAGGATGTACACTTTGAAATCCCAACCCCTTGACTGCTGTGTTTTTTTCTTTCTGATCCGAGCAGGAGAATGGTGAAATAAACCTCTTCAATGCTTCAGCCCTACGGGAACGAGCAGGGGATGCCTCCAGTCAGCTGCTGTCAAGCAGAGGCAGAGAGGGGTCCTTCGAGTCGCGGTACCAGCAGCCTTTTGAGGATTTCCGGGTGTCACAGGAGCAGCTCGCTGACCACTTCGAGAGCCGGGAGCGAAGGTAATGGCAGTGCTCCTTCAGCTCCTCCCAGCAGACTCTGCTGCACAGAAACCCGAAATTTCAGCATGGAAGTTGTGCCAGTGCTTGGGGGAGTCGCTGCTTTGGGGTCTGTGGGAGTAGAGCGGGACAAGGAGCTGCCACCCCGCAGCTGGTGCCACCTTCCTCAGGCGTGGGAGATGGGGCTGAGCCCCTGCTCTCCCCCAGTGGGGTGACCTTAGACACGAGAGAATGCCCTTGGTGACCCCTGGGTGAGGCTGAGCTGTCCCCTCTCTGTGCCCCCCTGCAGGGTACTGCGGAGGACCCGGGTCAACGGGGACAACCGGCTGTAGCCCATCCCGGCGGGCGAAAGCACCTCCAGTGCTTGTGAATCTCACAGCACGCTGTGAACTGGTTTCTATGGAAACGGCACTGCTATGGCCTACTTTCAGGCAGCTTTTCCAGTTTCTCTGCTGAAGTGTGTTCAAGTGGAGAACTAAAAAAAAAAAAAAAAAATTGGAAAAAAAAAACCCCACTCCAAAACCAACCCCAACCACCCTCCAACCTTCACCACCAAGCCCTTAATGAAGCGTGTCGGTGTGGACAGGCTGCCAGCCGCTGAGGTGAGAGACCAAACTGCCTATAATCACAAGGAGAGACCCAAAAACCCCCATCCAGCCCTCTGTGTCGCTGCTCTGCCTGTATTCCAGAGCTCCTGTGCAGCTGCCAGAGGCCCTGTGCAGCCATCCTTTGCTGTACTGTTCCCAGCACTCCAGGCAGGGGGGGACTTTGGTGACCAAGGCAGCAATAGCTGTGTCCTGGCATTGGATCTACTACCTGTATAGGCACTGCCTAAGGGTCCAGTAGTGAAACTCTGTGTTTACGGGGCCGCTCTAGCTTTAAACGACAATAAAAGTGTCAGTATTATGTGTGTACTGGCTCAGGTGTCTGGTGGTCTGTGCCCTGCACAGGGGTGCAGCCGTTCCTGAGGGGAGCCTGCACTGTTCCCTCCTTCCTCCTGGATTTAGGGGGTTTGCAGCTGCTGAGGGGAAAAATAATAAGCAGCAGCCTCAGGTTTAATGTTTTCATTCGAAAGGGTAAAACAAGGTCGTGTGCTACCACTGGCCATGCAGTTCTGAGCCAGCCTGGGGACAAGCACCCAAGGATGAAGAAGAGCTCCTAGGACAGAGGTGTGTGAGCTCAGCATGTTGCTGGGTCACTCACTCAGGGCCTTACCCCATTGTGCTCTTAGAACAAAGGGGAAAGTTGTGATCAAGCATTCCCAGCCCTCTCCACATGGGGCAGCTCCTGCTGTGATGCCCTGGACGTAAGGGCATCACCACGGGCCTCCCCAGACCCCAGTGCAAGCACCAGTCAACTCACGCTTGTCTTTTACGCTCTTTATTTAGGAACAACCAAAAATGTCTGGTTTCATTTCAACAAACTGTACAAGCAAGCTCTTCCCCTCGCCCACCCTCACATCCACATATACACAAGGAAGGGAAACTTGCCATTCACTTCTCAGAAGTGGCATTGTTGCTACAGGGAGTTCTTGCCCTCAGAATAAGAGCAGGTAAAGTCCATAGCAGGTACAAGCTACCCTAGCCCTAATAATAGCTACAGCCCACAATCACAGGCAGCTTCACTTTTTTTTTCCCTCTTTAAAACCTTTACCAAAAGTAAAAACTATTTCCTGTTTCACACGATTGCCAAGGTGACCATTTAAAATTGTGGTCTTGAAAAAAAACACAGTAACAACCCCACTGGAACCCCCCACACCTCCCCAGTACAAAGACGGTTTACACAGCAGAGCCCTCGCTCTGCTCCCTCACTGCAAGGCCACCCTTATGAAAGGTCCCATTGCAGCTACAATTACATTTTCCTTTGGATAAATCCAAGCAAAAATTCCAGGTCATTCAGCACCAGCGTGATTTCTAAATAACAATAATTAAAAAAAAAAAAAAAAAGACCCCATTAGGCTGACTTTGTGGTCTGCTGAGAAACAAAGTGATCAACACGCTGTTCCCAAAGTCTCTCTTTTAGTGCAATGTTAGTATGTGCAAGGGGAATCATAGCCACGTACCCATAACACCACCACGAGCCAGATGGGGCAGAGAGAAAGTGCAATTTTAGCTAGAAGTTTTCTATGCCATGGATTCCTAGCCCAACCCTCACTAGCACCAGTAAGCAAGAGTCCTCCTAACACTGCCCTCCATCAGTGCAGGTAAAAGGGGGCTTTAATTGTGCCATCAAAATATGGCCAATGTCAGCAAACAGAGCACTTGGGCAATAACCAGAAAACCCAAAATTTAAAAAAAAAAATAAAAATTCACTGCTTAGGTAACAGAGCTCCCTTGGTCTGCCCTAAAGTTTGTGATGCCAATCCAGCACTCCTGGCAGGACCACTGCCAGTAAAACATAGAGCAGAAACTAAACCTCCCAATTTAAAAAAAGAAAAAAAGGGAGAGCCTGCAAGTGCCTCATCCCTCTCCATGTGAAGTGTTGCCTAATCTTCCCTGCTGTTTTGGGGATCAGCTGGGTCTTGACACCAGTGGTTGCAGGTGAGCTGAATCACATCAGGACCCTGATCAATTTGAAAAGAGCAAAGCCAAAGTTATCAGGGTAACTGGAGACAGAAGTTTACAAGTATTTGAAATACTGTCAACACTGTAATTTGTGCCTAAGTGCTGAAAATCATCTCTCTCTTCTGATTCCCAGTGATCCAGCTTCCAGTCAGGTTGTCTCTGTTACAACTCTAAGAGAGAGGGGCTGCAGGGAAGACAGAATACAACACTCCTCCATGTGATCAAACTGTTGCTTTTCAATTTAAAAAAAAAAATCAAAATCACAAAACCCTAAATGTAAAACTTGCCTTCTACAGTCTCCTTCTTCTCCTGAACAGTCAAGGGACACTTAGCAAAAATTAACCAAGCAGGTATCTTGCAGCTCCAGCGAGAGCATCCCCCAGCCAGGTAAAGGGTTTCAGCTGCTGCTTTTGCCGGTTGCTTCTCATGGTGACCAACACAAATCCTTGGCAGGGAGGGGACATGAAGGCACACAAAATACCTCCAAGCACCTGTGCCCATCCTCCCACCAGATGCAGGCCTGGTGTCCATCAGCGCTCACCTCTCAGGCAAGTGGAAATAGGAGCCTGCAGATTATGGTTGGTTTAGTGTCCTGCTTTAAAAAAATAAAAAAAAATAAAAAAAAAAAAGAATGATTTCCAGGATGCTAATTATGGACCTGAAAAATAAGGTACCCAAATGAAACACAGAGCCATGTCTAAGGCTGGCACAAATCAGGGTTTCGGGTTATTAAGCAATTGGATTGTGCCCTTAATCTAAGCAGTCTCAGAGACATAAGTAACAAGATTCACATGGATTAAAAATGATGGTTACTGCTGTGCCTGCCAAGCCCAAGCTCAGACAGAGCTGATGGAGGTGGAGAATATAATTTCCCTTCCTTACTGATGCTGGCTACATCACCTCGATCTTACACCCCTCCTTTCAAGTCAAGATAGTCATCTTTGATTAGATGATGATAAATATTCACACACTGTGTAGAACTGTAGTGACACTTCCTCTTAACACCACAAGAGCTGCTGCTGGGACTGTCAAGCCACCTCTCAATTTTTCCTTTCAGTTTTGGATGCAAACACATTTCCAATGTCCTGCACCAAAACCCGAGTCTGTCTGGAGATGGCACCTGCTTCTCCTTCTCAACAGAGAAACAGGGGACCACAGAGCTAAACCCTCAAAAATCTTCAGCTTATACTTTTATGGAGATTTCAAGTCAACTAAAAAATGCAGATAACAAGGAATGTAGGAGTAGAAAGGGAACTCGATCACTTTTTGACTTTTTTTTGTCTCTAAATCTCACCCTCCCCACGCAGTGGCGTTTGCCAGCCCCGTCGCCACGTCCAAGGGGAGTCTGCATGGAACCACTTTTTAAAATTCCTTTGACCCAAAAGAAAGAAAACTCCTGCTGTGCTTGTATGAATGCATGGAGACAAAGCTCAAAAACCTCAGCAGCTTCCAACCCTCAAGGCTGTTTTTTCTGTGTACACCGGGAAATTCTCCCTCTAGCTCACAAGATTTCTTTTCAATTTTTCTGGAAAACTGGCTGAATATAATCCAAGTGCAAAATATTTCAGCTAGTGCATGGAAACGTGGTTTGAAGGGACCAGTTCATACCATAGTCCTTAAGCATTTCTGTAGATGGAGTGGGGAATCACTCTTCCAATTAAGCCATAGACCTTTAAGTGTACACCAAAAATCCCACAGAAAATCACCTTGAATGGGCAAACTACACTTCCAACATATTTATATAGCAAGTAGTTAGTAAAAGTGTACATTTTTAATGTACATCTTAATGCAATAAAGAATCAATGGCATATCTGAACTGTATATATGTGTACTTAAATAAACCTGCATGTACATAGACACTACAGAGTAAATTGACCTACCTGTATTTGTTCTCTGAAGGTGGCACTGCACATACACCCCCTATCTCAGGCCACACGACTCACAGATCTGCTTTCCAGCTCTAGCCCCACCCAGATTCTCCCATCACCTGTGATATTTTAGGGTGTGCAGGATTGCACCCGTGAAGGTGAACCCCTGGGGCTCTGGCAGTGCAGCCACCCCCAAGGGGAGCAGTGGGGATGAGCCAACACGGAGGCAAGGTGGGATGGCTGCTGGTCACACCTCCAACCATGCCATGACCATCAGTAGTGCTTCTAAAGAGACATTTAGGGAGCCTGGTGCCACAGCAGGGTGCTCTGGGTCGGTGCCAGCCCTGCTCAGAGCACGGTGGGGATGGTCCATCTCACTGCTACGGGATGGGCACCGTGCGAGTGGGTGCATCCAAAACATCACCCCGGCTCGCTGGGGTGCAGGTCACCTCCATCTTGAAGCAGATGGTCACACTTGGCCATGGGGATCATCCCCTGTGTGCCAGGGAGCCCCATGAACTCAGGCACAGGCACCCAGCACATCCTGCTGGGCAAGGGGAAGCCCCTCTGCCAGAGCACTGAGCAGATACAGCCCCTTCCAGCAGCTGAGCAAGGCAGCCTCAAAGAGGGGACAAAGAAAGAATTGCAAAAGCAAGGGCAATTAAAGGTAGAAATCAGACACCATCTTTGGAAGAGGTTCTGAAAGAGCTTTTTTGTTTTTAAACCAGATTTTTTGTAAATCTCTGGATCCGATCCTTCAGGGTTTGCTACCCACCCTCCTAATAAATATCATTTACCACTAACAATAAAGTCTCCCACATTAAAAAGCTCTCACTAAATAAAAAACTTCTACTGAAAAAGCTTGGCTGAGTTGGCTTGGCAAAAATAAGGAGCTATGACTACTCGCCATAAATACATCAGCGGATAAACACCAAAACTATTTAAGTTAAAGGACAATGTTGGCTCCAAAAGAAACCAGCAATGAACCAGCCACGAATTAATTCAAACTAGAAATTTAAATAAAGTTTCTAACCACTCAAAGGCAGTGAAGTTCTGGAAGAGCCTTCCAAGAGCAAAAGTGAAGGCAAGACATGGAATGAATTTGGAGCTGGGATTTGATTAGTTTGTGACAGAATGGTCTGACACAGCATTTGGCTGGACTATCCAGCTCAAGAGTTTCCCTTCTAGGCCTTGTTTTCTATTAGCAAAGAATATTTAAAAAAAACAAACCTTCAAGCAGTTGCATCACACAGCAACCACCCAGGACAACACACATTAAAAATGTACAGGTACCAGGCAGCAGGCAGGTTAACTGGGAAATTTATTTTGCTATTTTGCCAGAAACATTGCACATGGCCTGGAAAAATGGAAAAAAAAAAAAAAAAGAAAAAAAAAGACTGGAACAAACACTTGAAGTCACCAGCAGTGCTCCAGGAGGATCTGCCATGTAGGGCTGCAAGAAGGAAACTTCCTGACTGCAGCAGAGCTGCTGCCTCACCATCCCTTGGAGACAAAAATGACTTGAACCACTCACAGCCACGCTGCGATTCCGTGTGTTTGTTCTCTGAAGAACAGCCTGTTCTCTCTGAACAATGAAAAGGATTCCAGGTCAGGATGCAAAAATTATTATGTGCTAGTTCTCAGTGATTAAAGAGAGACTTGGAGATTTAATAGCCTGCTACAGTCAGTCTCCAGGAACACAGGGGAAAGTGTTCTAGCCAGCAAGGGACAAAATGACATCAAACTCCTGGGCTGCCTGGGTCTGGGAACCTGCTATTTATCAGAACAAGGCTGACTCTAACCTCATCTGTAGGGATTAAGAATCTTGCTCAACTTAAATTCAAGACTGGCAGTTTTCTTCTCAGATCCCTCTCCTAACACACACACTTGTTTGCCCACAAAGCCCTTCACTGCCAGGACCAGAAGGGGCAGAGAGGATATATGCAGCCATGCCAACCTTTAGAGAACAAACACCTTAACGGACAGATGAAAAAAAAAAAAAAAGAAACAAGAAACAAGTACTATGCCATGATAGTCCATATCTAAGCAACGACCTTGTATACACAATGTCTGAGATTCGTTATGCTTGTATAGGCAGCTGTAGGCATCGGTATATGAATATGAAATCTGAAAGTCTGTCACTGGAAAGCAAACAGGAGCATCCTATTTCCTGGGTGCGAGCCGAGCCCCCGCCTCAGGCAGCCCTCGGCTGGGCCACGAGAGCTCGGCACCGAGGGCCCAGTCTGTGCACGTGCTGTCTCGTGTGCTGTGCCCAAAGGTCTCATTTATGGCAGTGCTTCATCACCACGTCCTGCTCCCCAGGTTTGGATCAGGCCGGCCCGTGGGTTGCTTAAAGATCACAAATTTCTTCTCGAGGGTAAGAGCGGATCCTCCAGGGCTGGTGGTTTCAGTTCACTCTGTTTCTGAAAAAGAACAGAGGTGTCAGATGCTCCAGCCCGCTGCAAGGGCCTGCGACCCAGGTGGGATGCTGGGTGGGGAGGAAGGGGGGCAGAAGTGCCTCAGGATGGGCAAAATTGGGAGCCTTGACAGAGTCAGCTGCAGAGAAGGACAGCCCCACTCTGATGGGGCAGGAAACACAAAATCCTGTGGAAGTGGAGCTGGCAGGGCTAAGGAGGGATGCAGCCTACAGCAGCCCAAAGCTGTGCACACCCTTGCCAAGCACCTCCTGCCTCTGTGCCATGAGGGGTGACGGGACCACCTCACTCTGGGTGGCATAAAGCCATGCCCAGAGGGTGCTTGCAGGGGCACCTTCCTGGCACAGGTACAAAAGCTGGCCCACCACCTGTCCCCAAACCCACAGCTTCCCAGAAAAGCACATGGGGTGGTGATGCACAGCCAGACCCAGCAGCTGCAGGAAGGACAGGGCCCTCCCAAACCCATAATCCACCTCTTCCAAATTAAAGGGAGAAGGGAAGCAATGAATTTTACCTGATTTTTACAAATTTTTTTCTAAGGCCTGCAGCCATGGCAAAGCCTCAAAGCAAGGCAGTGAGGCCAGAGAAGATCCCAACTGACCAGCAAGCAGCTGCATGTGTGGACCATGGTGGGATGGGGCCAGTGCTTGGCCATCCCCATCTGGTGAGAACCTTGCCAGGGAGGAAATGGCCCCCAGCTGCACTACCTAAGAGCCCACAGAGGGCTTGGAAAGCACCTCTCCTCCACACACACGCCTTCCAAAAGTGAGTCCTGGAGAACGGGTAGGGCCAGCAGCTGGGAGCACCAGCCCTCCACGTCCGTGCCAACAAGGATGCTCACACCTGAGGAGTTGGCAGCGGGAGAGGGAAGGGCAAGTACGAGTTCTGTCTGCTGCCCAAGCCCAGGTGGGGGTATGGAAGGAGCTAGTGGCATGGGACAAGTAGCCAGGCCCCTTCCTTCCCAAATACCTATCCCCTTCATAAATCCATGGGCCACTTTCCCACAGGGTAGGTAAAAGGACCGGACACTCCTGCTGTTTTACTTAGGCTTGAGATAAAGCCAGGATTTGGTTTCTGAGCGGTGTCAGCACCTAGCGACCGAGGCAGAAAAGGGGCAGACAGGCCGTGGCACTTATGTCACCCCACCTGGCCCTCCTCATCCTCCTTCCTTTCCCCCCTTCTTTCACAGGAGAGTTCCTCACCGCTTCCTCAGTTAAATCTCAAACACTGAACCCTTCCCTGAAGCCAAGTAGGAGAGGCCCAGTGCCCCACGGCCACCCCATTCCCCCACGGAGCCAGCCCTGCCAAGGCAGGGGCCTTACCCAGCCGCGTGGTGGGCGGCGGGCCGGGGGCGTCGGGGGTCCCTGCGCTGCCCTCCGGGCCGACCGGCTCCCAGGCCTCGCTGCTCTCCGACGCCTCCGCGCCGGCTTCACTCGGCCCTTTGCGGCTCCCCGCGGCCCTGCCGGCACAGGCCTCCTCCGAGCCAGAGCCCCTGCCTTCCTCCTCTGCCTTCATGGCAAACCACACCTTGAGCTGCTGGGCGCCGAGGTGGGAGCGCTCGCACAGGCCGGGCACGTCCTCCTCCCGCAGCCCCTTGTGCTTCTCGTAGTAGTCCTCCAGCACCTCCCTGCTGGCAGGGCTGACCTCCACCAGCCCCGGGGGAAAGACCCCCCGCCGGTAGTTCTCATACCACTTGAGCTGCCCGTTCTTGTAGCCATACCGGCTGTCCCCGAACCAGCGAATGACCTCGGCCCGCGGCAGGCCCGTCTGGGACACGATGGCGTCATACTCCTGGTTCGTGGGACGCTGGGTCTGCACGAACATTTGCTTCAGCAGATGCCGCTGCTGGGCCGTTTTTTTGAAGTTCAGTTTGGTTTTGGGAGGGGTGGGCGGCCGGCTGGAGCTGCCTTCCCCCTTCTCGTTTGCGCCGGTCCCCGGTACCTCGGTTTTGCCGTTGGACTCGGTCACTCGCAGGTTCTTCAGGTTGATTTTGATGGGACTCACCTTCCGCTCTGCCGAGTTCACGTTGTTGCCAGAGGCGTCGACTGAGCCGTTTTCACTCGAAGCCCTCTGCTCATCCGAGGAGTCCTCCCCTTCCCCGCCACCATTCTCCGCCTCCTCCTCTTCCTGCTGAGTCGCCTCTTCCACTTTCTTGTTTTCTTCCGCCACCTTCTTCTTCCTCCTCTCCGAGAACCAGCTGTCGATCTCCCTCCGTGTCATCTTCGTTTCCCCCCTCAGGCGGTTCACCTCTTCCTCTGCAGGAAGAGGATTTTGGGCAAAACTGCTCTCCAGGGCCTTCAGCTGCTCTGGTGCCCGCTCCTTGTATTTGGTTGGGGTGAAGTCAGGTGCCTGGTGCCACGACTGCCGTCGCGGCGGGTGCTGAGGGGCCGGCGTGGCCGCCGCCACCGCAGGGCTCAGCTCAGCTCCTCTGGGCGGGACATCAAAGGTGATTTCAGGCAGGGAATCAAGAGCACTGTCTCCAGGGAAGACAGCCCGGCCACCTCTCACGTTCCTGTAGTGGTACCTCCTGTCGCTGAACCATTTTCGGATCTCCTTGGTGGACAAGCCCGTGATCTTTGTCAGCCGCTCCACCTCAGCCTGACCGGGGAACTGGTTTCTGCAGAAGCTGCCTTTAAGGGCTGAGAGCTGCTCGTGGGACTTCTTGTTTTTGTAGACATTGGGATCCAGGAAGGTCTGTGAGGAGATGGCAGGGCAGGCGGTGAGCAGTGACTGGGCACTGTTGACCACCTTCACTCCTGAGGCACTGCTGGAGCTCACGGTGCTGTGCTGCGCCGCCGGCTGCGGCTTGGGGACAGAAGTCACTGCCAAGGTGAAGGAGGAGCTGGTGCCCTTCAACCCATTTGCCATGATGGGCTGCGTGACCAGCAGCCCCCCCGTCCCCTCTGGCTGCCCCACCACATGGCCTGGTAATGTTGCCTGGATAAGATGGGGGACACTCCCAGGATTTGCAACCAGCGGCGTGTTCAAAACTGTAATGGTGGGTTGTGGCACGGACTGAATAACAGTGTTGAACATCTTCTTCCTGGCATCTTCGATCTCCTCCGGTGACCAGCTGATGCCCTGCTTCAGCCTCTGCGCAGTGAACCAGATCTTCAGCTGCTCTTCTGGGTACTTGGTCACCACAGTCAAGTAGCAGAGCTCAGCTTTGGTGGGATAGGGAAACTTGTGGAAAGAGTTTTTCAGGAAGCTGTTGGAGTCCATGGCGGCATTGTATGTTGGAATGCTGCTCAGGGGAATCATCACCTTGGGAAGGGACTTGGATGTAGGCAGCTGCTGATGCAATGGGGGTTGCTGCTGCAGCGACACAAGTTGTGCAACCCCTGCCTGCAGAACGGGCACGTTTCCTATGATGGAGCCATTCACTATGTGGGATGACTTTGCTGAACTTGCAGTGGGTTGACTGACTGGCACGGACCCGTTTGGGAATGAATGCTCCCCATCCTTCACCTCTGACTCACCGCCCAACTGACTTGACACACTCTCTTTCAGCGTGTGGATTTTTTTGGCCTCGGGTTTACCTTTCATTATCTTCATGATGGGGGTTTTGGTAATGATGATTTCAGACTGGCCGTCTGCCCCTTCTTCGGGAACCTCTCCCGGGAGGTCGTGGCTGCCTGTGGCCTCACAGAGACTCTGCTCCACGGTGGTACGGCCGTCCTGCTTGGCCACCCTCCAGACAAAGCCCGTCTCGCCGCCGTGCGACTCCGCGTTGTGGTGCGAGAGCCCCTCGTGGCTGTTGGCCAGGAAGCCGCACGGCACACACGCGAACGCGGGGTCTTTGCCGAAGTCCGAGTGCTCAGAGTCCAAGTGCCCGAAGAACTGATGAACGTCCTGGGATCCAAAGTCGCAAGACTTGCAGACGTAAGTGTCGCTGTCAGCAGCACCGCGGTGCCCGTTGGACAAAGCTCCACTGCTGCTGTTACTGGCACCAGCATCGCTCGCTGGCCCTTCCACGGGAGCCTCTTGCTGTGGTCCTTCATGATCATCTTCCACAGCGTCCTGCTCGGTCTCCTGAAGCACCAGTGTTTTCACTGGTATCATGCAGGGAGTTGTGGATTTCCTTTTGCTAGCCATCACGATGATTGATCCAGATGATTATTTTTTTTCATTTAAATTAAATTCAAATTTAAAAAGAGCTATTGCAAGTGCTCTGCGGTCCAGATTCCAGCAGATTCATGATGTCAGAAGGAGCTGTTGTCAAATGTTGACAAATGTTCATATTTGCCACTGAACCTGAGGACAAGGAGAAGAAGAGGTTAGTTCCCCTGGCATTTGACAAAGCACAACTGTCCTGGTATTTAACTGTTTCCCTCAATAAATCATTTTGCAGCCTCTTTTGCTTGAAAAATTTAACTTGACCTTGGATTTACTGTATTTTCACACCTACAGCCCGTGCATTACCTGTTTAAAAACAAACATGCCTCTTTCACAGCCCGCATCAAATTCTCATTTGAGGAGGAAAACCGCTGAATTTTCCGCTCACCCTGCCTTGTCATGACCTATCTCTGGTGTTTTGTCAGGGAGAGCAGTGCCTGGGCTCCCTGTGTGCCTGGGGTCCCAGCTCAGCCCCACACAGGAGGTGATGCCAGGCAAGGGCACCTGGAAAAGCTGCCCATCAGAAGAACCTAATGAAAAATCCACACATTCCCAACAGAACACTTCAATTTCTTCAAAATCAGCATTTTCCACCCATCCCGTGGGGAAGTTTCTCGCCAGCTCAAAGCACTGTGCCCGTGCCAAGAGCCTCTGCCTGCAAGCACCAGAGCTCTGCTGCAGGGAGCGAGGGGGCTGCACACTGGAACACATAATTTTAGCTCTCCCTGCTCAGCAAGCCTGCAAAGCATTTGGGAGATTCCCTGCCCACCCCGTGCACACTTCATTACTGTTTCAACAGCATCTGTGAGTCTTCATCTGGAGCTGCAAGAGAAGGTAGAGGCTCCAAAACTCAAGGGCAGCATCACAATGTTCCTGGCTCCCAGCCTTCCCCTCCCACCACCTCTGCAGCTTTTGGCACTCACACCACTCAGTGCACTGGGGATATTCCCTAAGAAAGTGTAATTCCTTGTTAAGGCAAGCCCATCTTGCTGCGCTTGGGGTGACCAGAGATTTGATACATTTAAAAAACAAACAAAACCCCAAACACACAAACAAACAGAAAAGGAATAATATTTTCTCTTTTGTGTTTGTTTGGTCTTCTTTTTTCCCTGAAACTAACTAAAGCAGATCCCAAACTGCTCCAGCCTGTGGAAGGCCAGGGCTGGCCGGGGCATTAGCCATGACCTTACCCCTGGCCTGATGCAGCCTCTATGTGTGCACAGAGAATGCTCTGTGCCTGAGATCATGACCCAAGGGCAGTAAAGCTGCTGTAGCTGGCACCAGGAATCACTTGCCTGGTGACACCTCTCTGTCAACCTTTTCTACAGCAACTCCACTATTTTTTATTTCTCTTAAACAGAGGGATAAAACAGTATTTTTCCAGACTGCAAGGTCACTTGGAAGCACACGGACACACTGATTCATACTACAAAGACTCTGTGCCAGATTTTTCTGGGATTTACAGTAACAGAGCTTTATAAAAACACTCATAAAAACTTGAACTTAAAAAAAAAAAATTACTTACCATCCTAGGAGATGACTCACAGAGGTAACTCCTATCAGTTACACCAGTTGTGTACCAGTAGCTTTCTCAGATCAGATATTTGGAGCTGATCTCATGCACTGAGAAATGCAGATCAGGCAAATGACTTGGTGGTGCTTATGCAATACCTCCTGTGCTTAGTTTTGTCAGTAGTTTTTAGAACAGATGAATGAAAGGTCCTCATGGAAAAAAAAAAAAGAAAATCAAGCAGAGGAAGTACAATTTGACCTCCCCAACTTTACTGGATTTTTTTTTTTTTAAATTGTTCTGAAAGCTGGCATCATTTTCTCCAAATGGGAGAGCCTGGATGGTCAGCTCTGGCCTCAGCAACTCTCCAGCACCGTTTGAAAGACTGATGGGAAAACGCAACTTCCCGTCAATGTGGGCTGATCTGAGATTACAAAACAGTCCTGTAAATAGTGTTAGTCATCACTGAACTTGGCATCAGAAAAGACTGCTTGCTATGTTAAAGCTTTGTGAAGGGCTAGAAATTACAACTTTTTAAAAAATGTCTATAAATAAAACAGGTATTAAAGCTGTGAGCTGGATTTAGACAGCGAGGACTGCACGTCTCAATACCTGCTTTATGCTGCTCTCATCCCACCTTCCTGTGGTTAGTCCTTCCCTCTGCAGAGGGCCAGAAAGTTATCCATTAGCATTAGCAAGTGGAATACTTGGATGACTATGAATGGGCTGTGCTATTCAGAGGGGAACAGCATCCATTTGACACCAATCCTGAGATCCTCATTTTTGATGCTAAGTTAAATATTACACAGTCTAGCAGGGTGCAATGACCTTTCCAAGCCAAGTCAATTAAGGAAAAAACAATAAGACCAGCCTGAAAGCTGCAAAATACAGTTGAGAGAAGTTCCATGTCAGGAAAGCGATGGTAAAAGAGAATTCTTATTTTGTTTTATCCTGCAGTTTTGACACAGGGAGAGGCTGCTGGGCCCTCTGCAAGCTTTTTCCTTTCAAGCAAACTCCAGATAGAGATCCAGTTCCAGAGTCTCCATTACTGAGACAGCTCGAGTCCCAGACTGATCTTACCCAGTGTTTATGGAGTCACCAGATATCAAAAAAGATGATTTTTATCTGTCAGCAGAGTAAATTTGATACAGGGCACCAGCGATACACAAAGACCCCCATTGTGCCCCGTTAACAAAGTGCCTCTCCCGAGCACTCCACTGCTATTATTTTGAGTAAATGTGAACGGCCTGACCCACCTACAGAGAACCTAAAAGCTCTGCATTTCATTTACCAGCACATTTGCATCAAGCCCTGTGCTCCCTCCAACAACTTTCCTTAAAAATGCAATCAAAGCAGCCCCAGCCACCGCAGCTCTCCTGCGGGGCTCCAATATTAATGCCACCTGAGAACACAGATTGCAAATTTAGCTGGAAGTGAATCACAGTGGTAATTTACTGGAGAAAAAAAAAATTAATCAAGTGTACTGTTCGTCCATTTCATTTCCATGGAACAGTTGCATAACCACATGTTGGGAGTGTGTTTTATTCACTGCTCACCTTCTGGAATGCACTTAATACTTTAATACACTGCTAATACGTAACAGAATTGATAATTCACCTATTTCTTCACCATTAAAATAAGTGAGACTGTTTTAATGGACAGGGTAAATTAATGGGAGTAAAATTAATCAGTTGAAAAACATCTTTACAACTGATCTCAGTACATAAACCACCACTGCAGATGCCTCAGACTCATCTGCACAGCCATGAGTGAAGAACTCCATTTCCTATGTACTATTTTATGATTAACCAGAGCAATGAGCCATTAGCTGAATGGAAGAGCTACCTGATAGACAGGAAGACAGAGGGATTGTACTTAAATTCATGGTTCTTATTTCATTTATACCTGCTAATTTCATGGTGAGGTAGCAGAGTAAGCAGAGCAAATGAGCAGCACATCTAAACCTGTCACTGCTGTTGGAAATTTGAGGCAAGGTTGACTTAAAGCAGAGTCAAACCAATTCTCTGTGATGCTCACCGAGAAACTGATGCTGGAAGGAAAGGTGGACCAAAGGCTGTTTTGGCCACATGCAATTCAGAAAATCACACCAGAGGAGGAAGATGGAAGCTGTGAAATCCATCATCCCAATCCATGAGAACAACACAGCACTTCTGCCAGAGACAGTCCTAAACCTACAGCACTGGTATGATCAACCCCCCCCTGTAACGCTCCCCAAAAAACCCTCTTTCCTCCCAACACAGGAGCCCTCCCATCCTCATGGGCAGCTCCAGGTACACACCACCAACCCTCTGCAGAGCAGCTTTGCCTCCACTGAGGGAAACAATGCCCAGACTGGTCACAGTGAGCTTTGCAATTGCAGAAAATTTACTTCTGCAGAGATTAACAAAAGGAGGTTTCGAAATCTGCACTGCTGAGTATGAACTTTCAGCTTTTTCCAGCTTGGCTGGATATAACTGGTTTGGTTTTAAATGTTTCACTGAATTAACGAGTTAGGTTGTTAATGCAAAACATTCCTTCCTCGCAGTGCCAAGGTCCCTAGTTAGAAGATTAATTTTTGTGACCTTTTGCAAACCTCGCCTAGAAACAACAACCAGAAAACCCACCAGGCAGCATCACCAGCCAGGACACAGCAGATCCAGTCCCACCACCCGGGCACAGGGATGCCAGGACAGCTGCCCTCCTCTGCCCCCAGCCCAGGCAGCTCCTGTGTGCCCAGGCTGACAGCAGGGACAAGGCTCCATGCAGACACAGGAGATGGCTCTGTGCTCTGCAGGCTCTGGTGCTCTGCTGAAGAGTGAAAGCTCCGTTAAAATAAAATGAAATTAATGAAAAATCATATTTTTTAAAAAAATCAACACCAAAATAGAAGTAAAATAACAGTTTTCTCAACACTTTCAGTGCCTGCTAAGCAGGCAGACACGCTCCCCAGGTCAGAGACAAAGTTGATGTTTCTGTCTCATATGGAGCCAAGCACAATATTGGCACTTTAAATAAAAGCAGTTTGTTTTCAAGCTGAAACTCTGTAGGCCCCAGCTGATAGCATCATATGGGGGGGGGGGAAGACAAAAAAAAAAATCAAAGGAGGAAAAAAAAAGTTGATGTTTCTGAGTTTTTGTCTCTCCCCTTCAGGCTCTACTTCCAGCCAGGCCCAGAAGATGCAGGGCTGTCTTTGGGAATTCCACAGATGACTTCCCAACTCCCACTGTAATTAGCAAGACCATTAAATAAATTATTCCTGTGGCCAACACCAGCAACTGGATGCTCTCTGCAGCAACCAGACCAGAGGGCTGAGCTGCCTTCCCCTTCCCAGCAGCAAGCATCCCACTGTGTGTCACAGCAGGTCCCCAGCCTGGCAGACACCCAGTTTGCCCTGGGCAGCACTGGGTGCACTTACTGGGGAGGGAAGGAAAAACAGCTCCATGGTTGCCCTGCTGCCAGCCATGGTAGGCCTGGGACTCTTCCTCTTTGGCTGGGCATTAACATTCATCCTCCATTTGGAGTCTGTTCATGAGAAGTCATGTAGGAGCTTCACCAGTTTGATTAATTTATTGCCAAAACATGCCTGGTGGGGGCCCCATCCCCGTGATTCAGCACAGACAGACACAGAGGGAACAGAGTACCTCTCCACAGAAACTTCCAAGGTGTGGACGGGACCTCTCTTTTAGCTGGGCCAGCACAGCTCTCTGACAGAGAACAAAAGGCAAGATTTGGCAGGGCTGAGCTCCTCTGTTCCCAGCCTGTGGCTGTGCATCCCTGCTAGCTGGAGTCCAGCATCCTCCCTGAATATCTCTGCAAAGTCTGCAGCTGGGAGGAAGTCACAGGATGGGAACATCTCCAGCAGCCTAAAAATGCCAGCAGCAGAGCATCACCCCAGCTCCCAGCACACATCTCCAGCCCTCAGCCAGGGCTGGCACCTGGAGGTAGCATCTGTCACCCAGAGCCTGGTTCATAATCCAGACCGAATTCATGACACACTTAATTCTTTTGGGGTTTAACCCTATACAGGACTGAAAGTTCCCATCAATGAGACTTCCCCCTCCAGAACAGATCAGTACACCACACTACCCCTGCAGGCACTCAAAGCCCAGGTGATCTCAACACGAACCAGGAGAGCCACCAGCAATACAATGACCACAACCCCGAAGGGGCCACACAGCCAAGAAAAGCCTCGCCACATCTTATTATTTTGTGCTGCACAAATGTACAAACACACGCACAAATTTCAGCAGTTTTGAGCTTCAAGCAGCACCACAGTCAACATTTGTACTAAGGAACAATTTCTCTTTATACCAACTGGTCAGGGTGCTTTGTAGCCTAAGCCTGGCTTCGAAACCGCGGTACAGTCTAAATGCAGTGGAAGCCGGTTGACCGAACAATCGAATTCATTCTCCGTTCCTTGGCAGGCCTAGAGCAGAAAAGCGTCTTTTCCATTTAGGCCAGTTAAACAGAGCTATTCATTAAAATTTCACCCTTCTCCAAACTGCTGGACTTCTCCCTTTAAAATCTGCCTTTAAGAGAAGCCCTCTCTCCTCTGCCCCACAGTGCTCCTCAGCTCCCGTCTCAAGTTGTCACCCATTTTCAAGCTGTTCCCATTTCAGATTGCTCTCGTGCTCCTCTAAAAGCAGCACCTCACCTGTGTGTTGGTACCTGGGCAGAGGCTGCCTCAGCACTCGGGGACTAATGGCAGTTATCTCTGCCTTTTTTTTTTCCTAGACCAACACAAAACTGAGCAAGATGGAAGGTTAGAAAGGGCTGGTTGAAAGAGAACACGATTACAGTATAAAAATAGGTCACTGGGATAATATAACCTTTAGACTATTGGCAATGTGCCCCCCTTAGAGACAAGCCTGTGTGCTGTATTTCAGGAGAATGTGAGGAATAAAAAACAACCACCACGACACACATCCAAACAAAACCACTGATCAGCCCCTTGGAGCTTTGCGTGCTTCTGTTTGAACATCACTAACACTAATTCACTCCTTTTCCTCTGCCCTCATCCATTTGATTGAGCACAAAATAAACGTTATGTAATCACACCATTAACATCTTCCAAAAAAGTAATAATCTCTTTTGGCATAGAGGCTTCATTACAGATTTACTCCCGTTACACCACCTTAGCAGAGTTCACAGCCCCAGCATCCCAGGGACCCACCTCCATAGCTTCAATCCTCACATTTTATCCATGTTGCAAAACATTCCTGGCATTCCCCCAAAGGAAAAGGTCCAGCAGACAGATAATCACGTCTCGACAGAACCAGCTCCAAGGTTAGCACTACCAGCAGCTCACCACAAAGCATTAATGGAGCTTCAAGAACTCCCTCAGCTCATCCATATCCGGGTCTCCCATCACCTCACACTCAGCTAGGGAATGCCAGCAGGTCAGTTTGTGCCTGAGCAGAACAGTATGGTCATGCTTAAAACACACAGGAGGTCCCATTTCAGTCCCTTGTGCTTTCTCTAGGAGGTTCTCTCTTTGCTTGCATTGCTAGGGCTCTGTTTGCCACTTCAGTTTGATCACAGGCCTCTCAAACAGCCTCTCACAGGTCACCAATATCCTGCCACACCACCTTTGGACGTGCCACATGCTCTGCAATCCCCCCCTTAGAGCTTATGACCAAGCATCACCACTTAGGTAGGGCAAGACCAGCTTTGGCAGAAGCAGCCTTCAGGAATGTGAGTGAAAAGGGGAACGTTACACCTAAAATCTACTTCTTCGGGGGTTTATTATCTGAAATTGCTGAACTGGCTCCAAGCCAAAAATCTATTGGGGAGCTCAGAGTAATGAATAAGAACCAGAGGTAGCTCTTAGTCCATGTCAAATTTCTGACAAGGATACTCCAGGCTTTTAAATCAGCAGGGAACGCTTGGCCCAGTTGGTGAGGAGCTCGTGGGTGTGAGCACCCGATGGCACCAGAGCACCCGCCGTGCTCCCAGTGCTGCTGCAGCCTGCCCCGTCCCGAGGAGGCATTCTGGGGGAAGCCTCGGAGCCCACCCTTCTGCTCACAACCCCACCTCCAGGCTTGCACATCCAGCTCCCTACCTGGGAGCCATCACCCCAAATTCAGGAACTATACCTCTGAATGCCAGCACAACATTTACTGTTAAAAAAAACCCAGCGTCAGCTTTTAGACCAGCACCAAAACAATCCCGCTGCAGAGCCACTAACCCAAAAGCCTGCCACGCAGGTTTCTCACCGAGCATCCAAGTCCCTTGTGGAACGAAGAAACGCTTGCTGAAGCCAGGCTGGTCACCAGCTACCCGAGCGGCCACGTAAGGGACAGACCCACAGCAATTCCAGGGAAATAAAGAGTGTCCAGAGCTTTAAAACAAGATGTGGGTGGGAAGGACTAAACCAAGCTACTAAACAGTACCAGAGGCGCTTGGAACTGATCATCTGCAGCACAGTCTGACGACTAGGAGTGCTGCAGCCCCTTCCCAGCTGAGCATTTTTGGATTACTTCATCCCCCGTGCCCTTTTGCAATATGCAGCTTCGAGAGCTGCGTTACGTTCTGGCTCGGCATCAGCTCCCATTCCCCCACGTACAGTTGCTATAACCAAAAAGACAACTGCAAAATACTTGGTCTGAATGCAAAGAAACGGGGTTTGGCAGGTTGGGACCGTGGATTATTTTTTTCCATCCCCACGGATCCTGCTTCAGAGTCATCCTTTCAGACCTAGCGCGCAGCCGATGGCTTTTGCAGCTTATTGAGCCCGCTGGTTTATGGCAATGTTTTTCTGCTCACTGAACTGGCTCATTCTTTCAGCAGAACAAACTGTTCCACGTTGAGGCAGGAGTTGGCTGTGTTTTAACAAAGGATTTTTCCCTTCTGACAGTGTTTTGCAAAAGACCCAAAAAAAGGAGTTTGGAGCCAAGTTACAAAAGGTCAGGAGAGGCGAGTCAAGCACTGGGTGTAGTTCCTGTATGTCACAGCCAGACAAGGAAATGGGTGGGGAGAACAGAAATGGCATTTTGAGTTGCAATAATATGTATAAAGTGATATTAATGAGGAATGGGCTTTTGAATGAGGATGGCAAGTATGCAGGCACTATAATTTTTGCTTTACAAGAGCAGGCTTGTTAGGTAGGCTGAGGCCTCTGCAATCATTTATCCCTGTGAAGCGGGCATTTGAGAGAGTTCAAGTAGCACTAGTAGTGAGAAAAAGGCAGTCTTATTTGCTTCCCCCTCCCCAAGCTGATTTCAAGGAGCAACAGTACTCTCCTCTCCCGTCAGCCAAATGAATATTCAAAAGGCTTTTGCCAAGCCAGCTCCAGTCAATCACTGGAACAATGCTGCAGGAAAGAAACACTGGGCTGAGAGACCTGTTCGAGACAGGCACCTTGTGTCCCCTCTCTGGCTCTGCTCTAGCATCCCAACCATCTTCAATGTTTCAAGGTGCTCCTGCCGAGGTCTGCTGGTGCCACGGCTGCTCTGCCTGCTCCATCCCCTGCCACACTGCAGGACAGCACAGCTAGAGAGGAGCTGCTGGATGGAGGATGAGCACCCCAAGCCAGGGTGCTGAGAGGGGAAGGACCCCGGTACAGTGATCCCAGCAACACAGCCCTCCTGAGGGAGCTGATGATAGCTCTTCCCTCTCCTCTGCTACAGGTTGAGACCACAAATGTTTTTGGCATGGGATGGACAGGTTCTTGGTGAGGCCCCACTCCCTGGTCAGCAGCAGCAGCTGGTAAGGTCTGGGCCTTTCTGCTCTATGTACATGGACAAACCAAGATGGCCAACTCTGGCCTTGCAGATGTTGGAAGGAGGGAGCTAAGGGGATCTCTAATAGTTATCACTATGTCATGCCTAATACTCAAGCTTTTCCAGGCCTCAGAGGATCCCTGAATAGAAAGAAACCACCCACCACTGGAACACAGCCACGTTTGTGGCTGCAAGGGGCAGATGTTCAACCCCATACAACAATGAACACAACAGTTGAGGCTGTAAGTGAAGAATGCTGCATCCACTTAAAACTGAAGAGGGAAATTAGGGACACCATCTAATTCTAGAACTACCATTTGGTCCTGATGCTTACAGTCCACATACCTACTCTGCAAGAGTGGTACATGGTTTTCTTCCATTGCCTTAAATAGACAATGCCCTGGACTAAAGCGTTGAACCACAAGGACTTCAGAGGCATATGGTCAGACTGGCAAGTGTTCAGCTCCTTCAGCTGGAACACCAGTTTTCAAGAGTTCAGTTCCTTTTTAGTACCTACATAAGTGACAGACTTCCAGAAGTTCCAGCTGGACTGGACAGGACAGGCCCTGCCAGCATAGAGAAGGACAGACCATTAACAGAGCTCAGTATCCTACCAGCCAAACCCTTTGCTGAGATGTGCCTGAGGAGAAGCTGAGTTTGAGAAGTCCTCCTCACCCCAGCCAGCATGAGATTCCCCAGCAGTCAGCTGCCAGGAAGAGCATCATCCCTACCACCAAATCCTCCTCCACTGAACCCCAAGAACTCCCACAGGACAACCTTCTCCCTTTTCTCTGAAATGCTCACCGTGTCTTTTAGGATTGATAGTAAGACACAAATGGATCTGGGACTTGAGATCTCTGTGGGCAAGATCTGGGCATCCGGCTCACGCACCTGCCAGCCAGACACAATCCAGGTCATTTGCTCTCTGGTTTGGAAGCATATTTGTTCAAAACCATTTGACAAGACACTCTGGACAGCAAGCAGAGACACAGAACAAAGTTCAAGGGTTATTTGTGATATGAACCGTGCTAGAGTCAGGACTCCTCTCTTCCTCCAGCTGTTTAGTGACACTTGGTATGGATTTGTCCTTACTGGAGAGTCAATTATTTTTTAGTTGAGAACTCACCATCCTCTGTAGGTCAGCTGTGAGCTGAAAGCATCCCAGTTATTTACTGCTGGAAGCTAAAGGAATTTCCTTACTCTCAGAAGACAGACATTTAAAATTAGTTTCAAGTTCAGTTGTGATAAACAAATCACGTTCTCCTCCTTTCCCTCTCCTTTTTTTTTTTTTGTGGTTTGGTTTTTTTTTTTTTAAATCATGCCTGCTGGTCCACCCAGCTTTTTCCTCAGCTGCCCTCTGCAACTCCTCATTTAAAAATTCATTCACAAGGATGTAGGGGAACATAGACATCTGAGAAAAATCAGCAAAGCCACATCCCTGCTTTCGGAGCTTTCCCTTTGACACTCGATTCCCCAGGAATGCATTAAAAAAATTAACAAACCACCACATATTTGGGTTTTTTTCCCCCTTCCTATAAGAAGCAGAAGATTGGGAGTTGGGCTGTCACCTTCCTATTGCAGATGAGGGCTCAGGACCTCAGCTCTCTGCTGACAACCAGCCAGCAGAGCTTCTTGCTAACTGGAAGATGAGCCCAATCCACTCACCCTGCCCAGCAGCTGGGGATGGAAACAGTTCCCAGCAGACAGAGGAGGAAGACAGAAGGTGTTTTAAAGTGATATGACAGCCCAATTAAAGGGTTTGGGGTTTCAGACTGAGGTCTCCCACAAGCCTTAATTCCAAATATTGATGTCCTCATCAATTTGTGGATCATGAGGCCTCGACACAAGGAGATCCTTTCAAAAAATTCAGGCATGCTGGGAGAATTGCCCCCTTGCCATGTTTCAGCAAGTCTACCCATGAACTGCCAGCAATTACTAAGCCTCCACTCTGTATTCAAAGCTCTGCACAATGGAGTTTATTATTTTTAAGCCTTTCAGACATCAATGTAGCAAACTTAAAGAGAGCTATTTGGAAGATTAAGACACAACCACCACCATATTATTCAATTTAGCTCCAACACTGAACACTTATTTCTGTAAAGAGTCACAGCTAATACATTGCCAACTGCCAACAGAGACAAACACTTAAAACTGTAAGTCACATTGCAGCATGGTCTTATAAACCAAATCTAAGATATAAGAAGGAAATTACTATCATTATGCAAATTGCTGCCATTATGCCTGTTACTGCCAAGCCATATCAAACCTATCTTCAGGTCTTGCCCACAGGCTTCAAAAATACACCCGTAGAAATGACAACCCGAGGCAATCATCCAGCCAGGTGTGAAGCTACTACTACATCTTCAATAACCATATTAGATGAGTTTTCTAAATATTTTATATGTTCATACAAGAGCGAAGAGACTTGCTACCACCTCCCCACTCACTGCCTGCTCAGGGCAGTCCTGCAGCAGAGTTTACGAATAGCTGCTTTATTTGTTCAAATCCAGACCTGCAGACAGGTGACAAAGGGGAGTGATGGGAGAAAACAGAGAAAGGATTTGTGCCTCTTTTCTATCATTACATTGCTTACAGGAGAGCTGCCCACTGCATTTTGCCCTCTTGAAACCATCCCACCCCTCACAAAAAATTGCGTGACTTACACGGGACGGGGTGCGGGATGGGAACAACATCCTTCCGTGGAAAAAAGGGAATTAAATGAGTCAATTAAAAAAAATAAATCAGTTTGCCACATGAAAACTGTCATTTCATTAGAGCTGATTTAACCTGAAGCCTTTGGAGAAAATCTGTCAGGAATTTAAAATTTCCCAGCCCTTCAACTGAACATGGAAAAGTTCTCATTGCAAAGTATGCCATGAACAACAGAAATATATTCCTGGTTTACACCACTAAAGGCATCACAGCCTATGTTATAACCTCAGAGAGACAGAAATCAAGACTTCCTCCTCCTTTTTCAGAAAGAAATGAAGGGTGGTCTCATTACAC